TGAGCAGTTTTGTTTGGGGCTCACCGTTAATAATGACAGATGCACACTTTGAATTAAGAAAGAGCTTTGGGGTGTCATGGATGGAGCAGGGAGAGGAGTAAATGTTGTTCTGGTGGAACATCTGGCAATGAGTCATACAGATCTGTCCATCCAATTTGTAAAGTGCTTAACCAGTACAGGCTCACAGGGGAGCTGGAGGCTATCCCAGCAAACAATGGGTGCAAGGTAGGGTCCGTCCTGGGCTGGATGCCAGGGTACACACAGACACAAGCACACACACTCACCAGAAGCCAATTGGGAGGTAACTGGGCATCCTAGAGGAAACCTATCTAAATGCAAGGAGAGTGTGCAAACTCCACGCAGACTGCACCCCAGGAATCAAACCCAGAGCAGTGCAAACCACAGCACCCCCGTGATGCAATTGATAAAAAATAATGCCTTAGCTGCTGTCAGCACTCTGTGCCGGCTGCTCATGTCTGGCTTATCCTGACGAGTGGCGATCAAAGATTTGAAGATGCGATATAAATTAAAGGCATAAGGCGGGCGGTGCAGTGGCTCTGTGGCTAAGGATCTGCCCCTGCACCTGTGGCTGGAAGGTTGCTGGTTCAAATCCTGCAGCTGGCAGAGGAATCTTACTCCATTGGGCCCCTGAGCAAGGCCCTTAACCCCAGCTGCTCCAGTGGTGCTGTATATAAATGGCTGACCCTGCGCTCTGACCCCAAGCTTCTCTCTCCCTGTCTGTGTGTCTCATGGAGAGCAAGCTGGGGTCTGCAAAAAGCCACATTCCTAATGTAAGAAATTATATATGGCCGATAAAGTGATCTCTATGACAAGCTTGGCTTTCTCACACCCAAAGGAAGGCAATATGAACTGCAGCCAAAGGTATTATAGTAGTTGAAAATGCAAGTGAAACTTTTGAGTAAACTGCTCCTGGCCTGTTACTCCTGACTGTGCCTGTAATGTCTCAGACAGTTGTGCAGCAGGGAATACCTGTGTGATTCCAGTCTGTTGCCTGTCGATCCCAGCGTCAGCACAGTCTTTGCATTTCTTGTACCCAGCAGATTGCACAACAGTTTGCTTTGCTGCTGAGCTGTTTGCACAACTCAGAAGAGATTCTTTTCCTCGCCACTCTTGGCAGGCCGCGTTCATAACCACAGGTTTGCTTAATTCCCCCTCCTCCAGACTGCCCCGAGAAGACAGCAGTCTGCTTCGCTAATTGACACAGGATTTTGTTCAAGGATTCGGCAGTATCTGGGTCTTTGAATCGGCGTGCCGGTGTGTTTTTGTACTTTACATTAACCCCTTTTTTTTCCCCTTTTGTGTTTGAGTACCATCTCCTAGAGAAAGACACGGCTATATTATACTATGGTTAGAAGGTCCTAGAAATCTGCTTTTTGTGGCTTCTGAATCCAGGCTTTGGTTGAGCAAACTGGCGTTTGATTATTGCTTGCCTTAAGACCTTGTAGTATAGTGCTTAAAGACAGCAGTGCACTTCAGTCTTACAC